CATGGGCGAACCTCGTGAAACACGTGAGTTCGAATGCCAAGGGGAAATGATTTTGTTGTGTTATGTGCGCATGTGCAGTTTTCCCAGTATCAACTCATGGGGAAATGCTGTTGCTACGTCGGGACATCAGAGGCTCGCCCGCTGCACGAAGAGGCTCCGCCCGCGCACTCTCTCTAGTAGTGAGAAAAAAAAAACATGCCAAAACACATGCTCCATTCCGTTTGTCCCATCGTTGAACATCCCAGGCGAAAGTGTCATCCAACCGACGCCCGTCTCCGCCCCGTGCCCCCATACACCTCCCTTCGGTCCCCCAACTGTGTAATGTCGGTCCCTGGCATTGCCCCTGAGCGGTTCCCCCAACCGCCGAGTCCTCCGCAGCCACCGCTTCCTCCTCCCTCTCCTCCTTATTGTCATCAGCTTCATCATCGTTCATCTCCTCCTCCCTCCTCTCCATCCTCGTCCTCGTATGTTTTCCTGCTCCGCCTCCTTATCCTCTTCTGGTTCATCCTCCTACGCCTTTCCATGTTTCCTTTTCCCTTTGTCCACCACCCGCCTCCCTCTAAATCCCACCAGCCCTCTGGGCGTCGGTGGTTTAGGGCGTGGCGTTTCCTCCTCCACTCCTCACTCTTCCCCTTCGGGGAGGGGTTTACCCCTCCCCCTCCCCTCTGGACCTGGGCGGGGGGGGGGGGGGGGGGGCGGGTAGTTAGAGCGCCCAAAACGGCCTCGGCGAGGAAACGAAATTCATTGATTTTACGAAGGTTTTGGCCCCATGTTGGCCTGGGGGGGGGGGCTTTAGTTGAGGGACCCCCCTTCGTTGACCGACCCCCCCCCCCTCCCCAAGATGGCCCCAACAAGCGCCCAGGAGGCCCCAAGATGGCCCAACGAGGCTCCCAAGATGCCCCCAGGAGGCCCCTCAAGAAGACCCTGAGCGGCCCCAAGAGGCCCCCCCCCCCCCCCCCCCCCCCCCCCCCCCCCCGAGGCACCCACGACACCGAAGAACCCCCCAGGATCGCCAAGAGACCCCCAAGACGTCCCAAGAGGCCACCAAGAATCGCCCAAGAGATACCCCTAAGAGGCTCCGAGAGGCATCCATGAGACCTCTGGCCCCTGTGCTTGCCCTCCTCCTCCTCCTGTTCCTCCTTCCTGCTCCTACTCTTTCTATTCTTCCTCCTCCTCCTCGTCCTCCTCCTCCGCCTCCTCCTCATCCTATTCATCCTCCTTCTTCCCACTCCCTCATCCATCCATCCATCCACCTCCTCCTTCTCCTGCTCACTCCTTTGCACGGTTCGGCCGTCCTCCTCTTTGTTGCCGCACTTCCCCGATCACCTCAACTCGCCTGGACATCGTTTCTGGATGGGCTCGTGGGGATTTTTTTGATCTGCGGCCCGCAATGAAAAATTCAAGAGGGCGTGGTAACGCGTGGGGATACGCCGCGAAGCGTCTAGAATTCCTTTTCCTCCCCTCATGTCCGTGCCTGGGACGGCCCGACGGGGCCCCGTGCCTGCCGATCTGGAGTTCCAGCTGAGCAGCGGGGCGATGGTGGGCGGGGGGGAGGGGGGGGGGGCTGCGGAGGAGGAGGAGGAGGCGAAAGAGGAAGAGGGAACGGAACGCGAGGACAAAGGAAGAAATTGCTGCGGAGGAAGAGGACGAAGACGGGGATGGGGAAGAGGGGGGACAGGATGAGGAGAGCAGGACGACGTGGAGGAGGAGGGGGGAAAATGGAGGAGGATGAGGGGGAAAGAGGAAGAGGAGAAGGAAGAATGGGAGGAGGAGAACGAGGAGGATAAGGCGGAGCAGGTATATGGGTCAACGGACGATGAGGAGGGATGGGGGTGGAGGGTGGAGACGGGAGGGGTCAAAGGACAGCCTTGGGCCGAGGACAACGACGGGGGGGGGGCATCGGGGCGGCGAGCGGCAGCAACAACGTTGACGACCCCACTTGGAACACTAGCGGACTTGCCTGGCGGCAATTCAGACCCCCTTTCAGTTCCAAGTTTGGAACATCTTACCACCCTCCTCGCACCTCATTTAAAAACGAAATCAGAACCACCCAAACAGTTACAGTTTTGGCTCGCCGCCCAAGCTCCGCACCGCCTCATGTTTATCCATCGATACTCGGGGCGAACCTCCGAACTTTTTCGTCGACGTATGCTTTCGGAGCGAGCTTCCGAACCGTTTCGTATCGTTTCGTATCTTTTCTTAACGTTTCGTAACCCGTCGTATCGTTGCGCTGCGTACGATGCAAACCTGCGCAAACGATATAACGTAGTTATATCATGTTGTAACTGTTTGGGTGGTGCGAAGTTAATTGGGCGCAAGAGCCTTTATAACGCCTGCATCGCGATACATTGCAATGTATCGTTCGGGAAAGATATATCATATAAACAACGTAGTATGGCAGTTATAAGTTGCTTTGCACCACTTATATCTCAAGATGAACAACATATAACATGAGTTGCAACGATTTACATCAGCCGCATCGCAAGCATCCGTGAAGCAGACACGATCGCGTCGTAAGGAAATCAGGACGGCATTTTTTTTATTTTTTTTCAGCCTCGGTGGGCCCTCGCCGGGCCCCCGGTCGGTCAAACAACGACTCAGGATGAAACGCCGGCCCCGGGGAAAGGGTCTGGACTTCCGGGGACGTCGTCGTGAAAAGATCAAGACGTCGCATGTCTGGGGGCGCGGTGGATTTTTTCTCCCTCTGCGACAAGGGCCCCGCGCCGCCGCGTGGGCACGCTGGGGAGCCCCCTCCCCGCAGGCCTCCGCGCGGCCTCCGGTGGCCAGGCTCCGCGGCGCCCCCGGGGACGAGGACCCAGACACGATCGCGTCGCAATGTTCCGCCCCTGGGGGCCCTCGCCGGGCCCTCGGACCGTCAAACAATGATCCAGGATGCGACACCGGCCCCGGGGAAGGGGTCTGGACTTATGGGAGCGCCGTCCTGAAAAAGCCAGGGCGTGGCATGTCTGGGGGGAGGGAGCTGTGATCTCGGGGTCGGCCAGCAGGAGGGAGTTTTCTGTGTACCTTCTGGGCCATGGCGCGCGTGATGCCTCCCCGTTCTCCCCCCTGTACCCTCCCCCGCCCCCACCTCAAGTGACGCTCCCCTCCCCCCGGCTGCGTTCCTGGGTCCCTGGCACTGCCGCACTGCGTCCGGAGCATCACAGTCGGTGGTGCATGGGGGGGTGGGCGTTACCTTTTTATGCTCAGGTCGGGCATGCCCCCCTACAGGCGGATTCGGAGGAACAAATTCAAAAGAGTTAAGACAATATTCCCAAAAAACAAAAAATTAGTCAAACAATCGTTCCCAGACTTGCTTCACTATTTTTGAATTTCCTCCTGTAGAGGGACACGCCCGACTTCATGTTATGCCCACCCCCTGCCGCCCCCCTCGTCCCTCCCTAACGCCCGTTGTCGCCCCGAAGAAAACATGATACCCGGGCGCGCGATCACATCCCAGGTATAGGGGTAAGACGAAGCGTTCTGATCATCACCACCGCCATCATCATCATCATCATCATCATCATCATCATCATCATCATCATCATCATCATCATCATCGTCATCGTCATCGTCATCGTCATCGTCATCGTCATCGTCATCATCATCATCACCATCACCATCACCATCACCATCACCATCATCACCATCATCATCATCATCATCATCATCACCATCATCATCACCATCATCAGCATCACCATCATCACCACCATCATCATCATGTTAAGAGTTAAGACGAAGCGTTCTGATGAAACATGAAACACCAGCGGGGACATGCATCCCTGGGCGTTGGCTTACGGCTTAGCCCCGCACTGGCCCACGAAATTCGGAGGACCAGGAGGACGATAACACGAGCATAGAGGGGGTAACGAATGACAAGGAGACTGGGGAGAGGAGAGGAACAGCGTGGCACGTGCCATCTGAGATGTGTTTGCGTACGGAGGAAGCCTTCGTCCCGAGAAGTTGGCAAGCGATACGTGCTCGGGCGCTGAATGGTGGGCTGGCGCGTGTGATGCGCGAGGACACACAATGGAGAAAGGCACAGGCTGTCACGCGGAGTCTCCTGTGCCGGGGAAACCCAGCACACCTGGCACACCCGCGCACTCTGCACACCCGGCACACCCGGCGCACCCGGCGCACCCAGCGCACCCGGCACACCCGGCGCACCCGGCACTTACCCGGCGCACCCGTGCACACCTGTTGGCGCACCCAGCGCACCCAGCACATTCTTCGCACCCGGCACCCAGCGTACCCGGCACATCCGGCGAATTAGGCGCACCTGTTTCTTTCTTTGCACGCCTGCAGCGCGCGTACCCTGCGCACCCGGCACAGCCAGCGCACCCGGCGCACCCAGCACATTTTTGGTGCTTCGTGGGCGCCCCACATAGCTTGCACCGCATAGCTTACGCAGCATAGCTTCCAGCACATCTTGTAGCTTACACCCCATAGCGTCCACCTTCAGTTCACACCGCATAGCAAATACGACATAGTTTACACCACATAGCTTACACCATCTCGCACCACATAGTTTTGTTCACCTCCATAGCTCACGCACTATGGCCTACATGGTACGGCTTTCACCACATAGCTTTTGCAGCATGGTTGCCACCTCCACTGTGCAATACCACACTGCGCGCACATGTATTAATGCGCGTGGATTTGCGACGGCTCCCGCTTCCATGCGAAATCGCTGCACACCGTCGCCAAATTAGGCATCACTGGCTTGATATTTCGGTTTTCCAATCCGTGGATCCGGATGCCACGTGCCAGGTCGGAGGATCCGTAATCCATGTCAGCGTGCGTTTGAGATCCTCACGCGTCCGAGGGGGTCATGGGGGCAGTACTGTACCTCGTTCTTTCCTTGAGGGTAGAGAGCAGATGAACACGTACCACACAGCCCAACGTTTCGATAGGCATACGCGGATTGGGGCAGTGCGTTTTTCGGAATCTCGAAGGCGAAGGTACTCCCAGAGGGCGGATTGCTGGAGGAGCCCCGAAAGGGGCCGGCGGTTTTAATCGACCCGCTAGGCCGAGCTGCCTTGCTAGCAGCATAGGGACTGTGCAGCCCTGTGTTGCGTTGTTCCTGCCGCATCGCTCTCCAAACACTCTTTCATGGTCTGCCAATTAAGCCGTATCTCTCTGAAAGGAGTTGGCGCTCGCGGATATTTATGGTACAAAATCAGAACTTGGCCAAATCGTAATGACACGTTGCTTGATTCTGCAGGGGCGCATGTCATGAGTATTGGTATAGCGCGCTCATTTTTACACTGGTGTTGAAGCGATCTCCTTTTACACGTGCGCGTATACGCGTACATGGGATAACGTTTTGTCCAGTGGGAGGTTGTTCGTTGATTATTATTGGCAGGCTCTGGGTGCGACTACTTTGTTCTCCTCGATGCCATGTTTTTGGGTGGTGGCTAGTTTGAGGAACCCGTGAATCTCAGCGCCTCCTTTTTCACCACATCGCATCGCGATCGGCAGCAGGTGTCTGCTGTCGAGCTTCGTCGGGCCCTGCTTCTACTTCGCAGCAGCGTGCGTGCTAATAGTCAACGGAGTGTTGGCGCTGCTTGCCGATGGCAGAAGCCCCCGCAGATGCTGGTGAGAATGAGGGTGGTTCGGGGTGCGGGGGTCGCGGGTGGATCGCGGGCGGATCGCGGGGTGGATCACGGGGCGGATCGTGGGGCGGGTGATGGGCCGCTTCGCGGGCGGGTTGCTGGGCGGGGCTGGTGACGGGATGACGACGAGAAGAAGATCGTAAGAGAGCTCGCCGCGCAGGCCCCATCGGCCCGCAGCTGCAACAGTAGTCTTCGAGCATGGAGCGGGCGCGCCCCCGAACACAGCGCGAGGGAGCACGGTCATTTTGAGCCCTATCTGTCTCCTCGCAAGTCGGGAGGGAACAAGAGCATCAATGACGCGTTGCTGTTGGTAGCCCTCCAGCGTCTCACGCCTTCATTCTGTCCGAAGGTCTGGTGTTTTTCGGCAGTAGGACGCGGATGGGTTCCCACGGCGGCGCGCCATAGATATTGCTTTTGCTCCCCGAGTAAGGGGAAGCAACATGCAGTATCGGCAGGACGCGCGCAGGTCGGCGTGAAGTTGGCACCGCTTTTCGGCAGGCGTTTCCGAGGGTGGTGCCTTCTCGCTGTGCCTCTCCCTGGTCGGAAGCCTATCATGGCACCAGCCAGTACAGCGAAGACGCTGAAAGAATGACCATTTCGGGCTTGGGAGAGGCTACTCCAGATTTCGTAATAAAAGGGAGGGGGTCTGGACCCTCCAAGACAAGCCATTTCAGACCTCCCCCGTGGGAGAACCCGCCAAAGCATCGTCCCCAGACCCCCCCAGACCCTCCAAGATAGCCTGGAAGAGACCCCGTCCCCGAAATGAGACCCCCCTCCCTTCATTCCGAAATCTGGAGTATGGTCTTCGCGCCGCGCTTTCCATCTGGGTCAGGGGGCACATTAATGTGGCCGAAGCGCGCCGCGGCCAGGCAAGCCCTTCTCCGCTCCTTCTTGTGCGCACTTGTTGTTAGCACGTTGACTGTCTGTGGGCGGCATGTACTCCAGATTTCGTAATAAAGGGAGGGGGGTCTCATTTCGGGGGGGGGTCTCTTCCAGCCTATCTTGGAGGGCCTGAGGGGGTCTGGGGACGATGTTTTGGAGGGTTCTCCCACCGGGGGGGTCTGAAATGGCTCGTCTTGAAGGGTCCAGACCCCCTCCCTTTTATTACGAAATCTAGAGTACATGCTTTGCTGAAATGTTGCGTCTCCGATTCAGACGGGCGTGGGCCCTTGTCTCAGATTTTGCATGGTGGTTCTTTTTTCGTGGTGGTGTCCGCAATGGCCAGGTTGGCGCCAGAACGTTACATGATTTAGTCATTGACCCTCATTCCGGTCAGGCCAGCCAGTCCAATTTCCACACCCCGGAGTGAATTTCCCATTTCCTCTTGTTGCTTGCGATGCGTCTTGCTCACTTCCAGCTTGGTTCGCTGCTCCAGTTCTGATCCTGAGGCAGGATCTGCGGCACTTGCCCGTCGGAACGTTGCTTGTATAGACTTGCCATTGAGCCGTCCCATCCAGTCGACGACATTTCAAGCCGTCTCATCCACGACAAACGATTTATGTGCAAAGAAGTCCGCGGCAACAAAGCGCATCATCGCTTCTCCGCGCGATCCATGTGTAAGTGATTCGAGTCGCCTCGCGCATTGCATTGATTAAACTTTTACTCGACGCGTGGTGTGTTCCCTGCTCGTGAGGGATGGATGCTTGGTGCATGGCGCAGTGACACGCACATGGCTTGGAGCGTGCGGCCGCGTATTTTTCGTTGTCGTCGCTTGTAGTTCGCACTCCTGGTGCTGACAGGATGCTTCGGTCAGTGAAGTTCACTGGAGGATGGCGCAATACGAATGCACCATGACAACATTTGAGCGGTCCGAATACAGGTTGCCTCCAGTGCTCAGCTATACGTTTCTCATTGATGCCCCCGCATTAATGTGTCCTGTGAGGACTGGCCAACACATCATTGAAGTTCCCGGGCTAGTCCACCGTGTTAGAGTTCTGATACAAGGCGAAATCTTACAACTCGGTGTGGCAGTAATCATCTTGACAGGGATCGAGGTGACATGACTTTTCTCTCGGGCGCATAGAACATGCGTGTCAGCAAGCACGAGGTCGCTTCCCGAAACCAGCGATCGCAGCCACTCTGCGTACCGAGCAGGCAATAGCAACGTCAACGGAACCGAAGACGTCGTGCGTTGCCAGTACCTCAGTGGGCCCTGGAAGCGACAGGGCCGTTTCTTTACCGTGTTCGTTTCGTCTTTTTTGTTTGCCAGCTCCGACGCCGTTTTTGTTGTCGGCTCCGTCGTCGTTTGTTGTACCAGTTCCGGCTCCAGTTCCAATCTTGGTGTTGTTTTTTTGCCGTTTCCGGTCGCCGTTTTTGGCCGTTTCCATTTTCCAGAGACGTTTTTTTGGGGGGAACGGTGAAAAAACGGCTCTGCCGTTTCCGGGGCCCCATTACGGCCAGTACCCACATCATGTCAATGCAATGTCTCGTGGGCCTATCTTCCGTGCTCCTTCGCTTTCGGCTCGGGGGGGGTCAGCTTTGCTTTGCTTCTGCTTCCGCCCTGGTTGCAGGCAGGGCGCCAGAGCACTTTTGCACACACGCTCGTGCACGGCCGTCCCTCCTCGAGAGCGCGGCCGCTCCCGCAGGACAGCTCCATTGTGGCCGTGTTGCGTACGGTGGAGGCCCATGTCAAGAAACACCCTGCTTGCCTCCAGGGTGCCTTGGGTTTCTTGTGTTTCGATGGTTTTGCTGTGGAAAGCGCGACGTTCCCACACCAAAAAGACAAAGGACGTCCTGGGGTCTCAGGATTGGGTTTCTTGTGGAAGGCTTCTTGTGGACTGGCCTCCACTGTACCAATGCACTTGAATGGGGGATGTTGTGCGAATTTGAGATGCATGCAAGAAGCCATTTCTTCCACTGGTGCTCCACCCACACTGGCATTTATGCTGGTAGGCAGGTGTTTCAGATGAGACGTCCAGCTTGCATTGCGGATGCAAGTGTCGCACTTACGCTCGCCTTGCCTGTGCATGTGCAATCTCATGGTGCGAATGTAATTTCCAGGACCAACGAGTTCAACAGGGCAGTTGGGAAACACGCGTTGCGAAGCGTGTGCCCAGACCTACGGCGGAACACGCTACCGCTGCGTCGCCGCTCCCGCCAAAAAAATGTGTTGCCCGCGAGTTATCAGCTTTTGAGACCCTGGGCGCATCCCGACCATCCCATCCAGCAGCGATCCCTGGCAGTTCTGCCTGGACCAGGGAAGTGCAGGAGCATGCATTTCAATGGAGAGGGGGGGGCAGCCGCCAAGCCGAAGCTGGGGATCGGATTCATAGGCTCGGGAGCTGATGAACGGGCTGCCACGCATCTTGCGATCTGGGAGTCCTTTTTGGGACGTCTTGAGGACACATTGGGAGTGCTACAGAGGCCATGTCACGAGCTTTTGGTTCTCTTTTCGGGCCCCCTCAGGGCAACGTTGGAAGACGTTGATCAAGACGGGAAGCGGTTTCAATTGGCGTTGACGCCCGCGAGGTCCGCCGCGCGTGCCAGGGCACCCCTATCACCCATGCCAAATAACAATGCAAACATCACCGCGGGCACCCCGCGCATGGTCAAAGATGTTGCCGCATTGTGCACTTTGCATCGGCTTTTGAAAGGGATGATGGGCTTGCACGCACTGGCCCTAGTTGGGGACTGTAGAGTGGGGGGAGGGAGGTATGCCTAGCGGCCTTGGGCCCATTCCGCCACCGTGCCTTGGTTGTAGGTTAGAGGCTTCTGGGATGCCTGTGGGGATCTCTTGGGAGGCCTCTCGGGAGCCTCTTGGATTCGACATTGGAGTGTCTTGGGGGCCTCTCGTTGATCTCTTGGCCGCCTCTTGGGGTCTGTTGTGGGCCTCTTGAGGGCTTCCTGGAGCTTTGGTGGGCATCTTGTATCTTGTGAACCTGCAGGCAGTCTCGCCTGCCATCTTGGGGCGAAGGGCTCGAAGTGTCGATTCGTGTTCCCCCGTCCGAGGCCGCTCTTGGGCCCTTCTTTGGGTCCTACTGTGCCGCTTTGGGGGCCTCTTGGGTCGTCTTGGGGCCATCGTGGGCCGTCTGGGGGCGCTCTTGGGGGCTTCTTGGACTGTCTTGAGGCGATCCTGGGGGCCTCTTGGGCCATTTTTCGGAGCATCGACAGCTTGACAAGGCTAGAACATGAGAATCCGTCAACAATCTTTCTGGACACATACAGATTTGGGTATCTCGGGGCCCTCTTGCCTCTTGGGTGGCGCTCTTGGAGCCCTCTTGGGGCGTATTGGGGACCTCTTCGGCAGTCTGGGGGCCATCTTGAACATCTTGGAGCGCTGTTGGGGCGACCTGGGGCCATCTTGGAGCTTCTTGGGGCCCTCTTTGCCCGTCTTGGGGCCCCCGGACTTTGAACATCCATGCGACCGACCCCGGGAGCGCGCAAGGGCGCCCAGAAGATTTGGAGATTCCCAGCCTTCTGAGTAAGAGTTACAGTGTTCAACAGAGAACTCGAAGGGACCTGAGGTTACTCCAACTTGTGCCTCAGAGCACGGTGGCGGAGCAATAAGGAGCAGCGATCACGTTCTCAACGGGGACGCCACAAGTTGAGTCGCCTATTCCCACCCGCCCTCCTATCGCATAAGTAGCACACTGGATTCAGCACAGGCAGAGATCGCCAGTGGATGGACGGACGCAGGGAACCACGACTGACGCCAGGCTCGCGAGGCTCGCGAGGTGCACCACTCGTGCCAGGTGCACCACGCGGACCAGGTGCGCCAGGTGACCCAGGGGCACAAGCGTGCCAGGTGCATCTGGCGCGACAGACTCGTCCTGTGAAAGTGTGCCACGTGCTTTGGCGGCGTCCACGCGCGCGGAGTGCGCTTGTGGCGCCAGTGCACGTGACAGCACGCATCGGGCAATGTGACGACACCCCCACCGTCTTGACCGACATCTCGGGCAAACACGTGCAAAGTGCCAGCGAGGTGGTCAGCACAGTGTAAAGCGTGCACCCGCAGACAGTTTGCACTGGTCTTTGACATGGCCGATGGGCCGGCGCCAAGCGGGCAAATGTGAGCCCACACCCGCCAATTTGATCAAATGTCAATGCTGATCGAGGGGGCCGCTCATGATCCATGTTTTGCAGTCGCGTGCACTTTGTTGTTTGACAGGGACGGTGCGGTGTGAGCTCATGGTTCCTGGTTTCTGCCTTTCGAGTGTTGGGGGCTATTAAGAGTGAGCAACGCTGATCCAGGGAGCTCGCCAGGCCACATACGCCAAGATGACTGGTGATATGAATTACCTGTGTTATCTTCGGCAACAGCGGAACCAGCAAACTGCTGCTGGTACGTTTGACATCCCTGCTAGCAGAGAGCGGGGCCAGTCAGGTCATCCGCCAGCGCTTCTTCTTATTTCAGGCCTCTATTTCAATGAACCGTTCCTGCCGTAGCCTAGCCCTCGACATACGGGAAGGCACTAGCGCGGTCACGCTTTCGAGATATATTCGTGCGGGGCGTGGGTCGTGGATCGACTGTGATCTCGGTTTCTCGTTGTCCACTGTTCCGCGGTTGCCATGCGGTCTGCGGACGCGTTTTGGGTCTTCAGATGATTCAAAGCATTGTGGGGCACGATCCGCTACTCCAGATTTCGTAATAAAGGGAGGGGGGTCTCATTTCGGGGGGGGTCTCTTCCAAGCTATCTTGGAGGGCCTGGGGGGGTCTGGGGACGATGCTTTGGAGGGTTCTCCCACGGGGGGGGGGGGGTCTGAAATGGCTTGCCTTGGAGGATCCAGACCCCCTCCCTTTTATTACGAAATCTGGAGTATGTTTGCGCAGCCCAGTCTGGTAACACCATGCCCATCTCTCCTCGGCTGCCACAGCTTGCGCGCCGTTCCTGCGGCCTCTCCGTGTCGCTGCGTCCCTGCTGCCCCGTCCGCCTCCAATCTATCTGTCTGCAGCCCGTGGCAGCATGCGGATGTGCTAGGCCCGTGCGCGCAAGACGGCGTGACGCTGCGCTGTTCTGTTCCCCATGCCGCTCGGCCGCGCCGTGCGCCAGGATGGTCGATAACACACCGTGGTTCGTGTTCATGAACCGCGACGACGACGCACGGGGTTCGGCGGGTCGTGAACGGAGAGAGGTGGTTCGAGGAGACGCAACGGCACAAACATAAACGTTCGGAGGTCCGCGCGGAGTTCTTGGGTCCCACTGGCGCCGCCCCTGGCGCCCTCCGCGCGCCAGGGAGGGGGGTTCAGGGCCGATTCAATAGATCCGCGCGGACCTCCGAAAGTCTACGGTCGTGATATTTTCTGTAAGTCCAAGGCGCTGAAGTAAGGACCACTCTGGGCTTCGGAGGGGCTCTGATGTCCGCGCCGTTCCTTCGACCTGGGTCGGGGAACCTATTCGTGACCATGGCTTGCCGTTGCCAGAAAACAGGCCCACGTGCTCCTTTTGGCGTTCCTAATGGCAGCGCGTTGACTGTCGGAGGCTTGGGGGGGGGTGAGTCCGGTGTGAAACGGAACTCCCCCAGCGGGAAATCGGCTTCGGTTTCGTCGTCGTGTCGTGCGTGCGGGCGAGGCGAAGCTGCGTGCGCGGGTGAGAGGGAAGAACCCGCCGCATTTCGGGCGGAACCGAGCTTCACGACTCTGCGTCCCCCGGCTGACCGGCGGTGGCTCGGGCGTGTCCCGCCGCTGCCCCGTGGTGTCCCGAGGTGTCCCGTGGTGTCCCGTGGTGTCCCGTGGCGCGGCCTCCCGTGGTTTCCTGTGGCGCGGTGTCCAGCGGGGTCCCGTGAGGTGGATTCTGAGATCGACCGTGAGAGCCATCGACGAGGCCACGGTGAGGTCGAGTGGTGAGATCGACAGATGGTGAGATCGATGGATAGTGGGATATGTCGGCAGTGAGATCGGCGCACACATTTGTCATACACGTGGCCGGAGCAGGCGAGGGGCAGCGCCTGGCTCGGCCGGCGCGCTCCTGGCCTCAGCGCCTACACTGCACGCCGTGAGCATGGCCTGCGCACGCGTCTCCCACGGCTCTCTGCGAGCGGCCTGGCCGCGCTGCCGCTCCCAGACTCGGCCACGCGCAGAGGGGGGTATATACCACAGGGGGGAGGGAGGAAGCCTTCTCAGAAGCACCCCTGCTTCTCAGAAGGTGCGGGCCTTGTCTGAAGAAACAGGGCCGGCGCCTTCTAAGAAGTGGCCGTCCTCCCTCCTCCCACCCCCTTGTGGGCGCCGCCAACAGACGGTAGGAAAATCTTGGTTTAGCGCAAGACACATTGCCCGTATCGATTGCGATACCGTGAGAGCGGTCATTTTGATCATGATCATCATAACCATCATCATCGCCAGCAGTATCACAATCAGCATCAAAACTATCATCATCATCACCATCACCCCGTCATCACCATCATCGCACGGCAGTCAAGGCGTTCGACCATCTGGCGCGCCACAGAGTGGCATTTCGAGAGTGAGAGTGCCTGATCGAGAGGCTGCTTGGTATACAGTTCGATCGACCCTGCAGTCTGATCATGATGCAGATCGATCTGAGGCTGGGGGCCAAAGCGATAGGTAATGAGATCGAGAGTAAGATCGGCAGTGGTGTCTCCTGGTGTCCCGTGGGCGTTCATGTTCTTCGTTTGTTCTTCTACAGGAAAGAGCGCTCGGGCACATGAATGCCACCTGATGATTTGGGGTCTCGTAGTGGGTTCGACTGCAAGATCGATCGTGAGATCGATCGTGGGGTCAAATGCTCGATCGATCGCGAGATCTATGGTTATATTGATCGGCGCATAGATAGTGAGATGGATAGTTGTATCGTCCATGAGATCGATCGTGATATCGATGATGAGAGCGATCGATAATGAAATCGACGGATCGAGTGGGATCGATAATGGAATCGATAGTGGAATCGATCCTTAGATTGATAGATGGCGAGACCGATGGTGATATCGATAGTGGTACCCCGTGGTGTACCGTGGTGTCTCGCGGTGTCCCGTGGTCGTGCATGTTGTGAGCACGTTCTGTTACAGGAACTAGCGTGCGGGCAAATCAATGCCACCTGGTCCTGCTGGCGGCCCCGATGCTGTTTGATACTTGTCCCGATCAATAGGTAGACGGGCGCACTCATGGCCTTGTTCGTCCGTAGTACGTCCTAAGACGAGGGAGCGTGCAAATAAATGCCACCTAGTTCCGCTGGTTGCCCCGGCGGTTCCCGTTGGATGGCCCGATCGATTAGTAGATAGACAAGCAGATTGCCCTGTATGTTCGTAGAACGCTCTAAAATAAAGAGGGTGCGCGTAAACAAATGTCGTCGCCAGTTTCCGCTGGCTTGTCCCGATTATTTTCGATGGTTATCAAGGACGCCATCGGGACAGCATCGGTGGTGCTCCTTGGTGCCCAAATGGTTTCCGCCGAATGCGATCCGACCCCGATCGCACACCGAAAGCGGACCCCCCCCCCACACGACCTCCTTGTCACTCGCAGGGTGGTTCTGCCAGTGGTGTGCCCCAGCGCAGGCTGGCCCCGGCGTTGTTCCAGGGAGGCCTGGGTCTCGCTGGCCCCCCCCGCTCTCTGGGCAGGCAGGCAGGCCGAGCGAAGCACCGATACAAGACGTGGCTCCAAAGAGGCCAGACCCAGACATGATCGTGTCGTAAAAAATCAGGACGGGAGGTTTTTGGCCAATTGCGGCCTCGGGGGGGCTCTCGCCGGGCCTCGGGACCGTCAAACAACGACCCAGGATGAAAAACCGGCCCTGGGGAAGGGGTCTGGACTTCCGGGAACGCCGTCCTGCAAAAATCAGGACGTCGCATGTTTGGGGAGTTTTTCCGTGCCGCCACTTGTGGCAGCGAGGGGCTTGGACGTGAGGGTCAGATGAGGACATGGTACCCATAGCGCTACCTTTCCAGTGAAGTCGCCGTTCTGAGCCTCCTGAGAGGCCCTCGTCGCCACCGCCAGATTCGCCTCGAGATTCGGGTCAGAACGCATCCCAGGAGAGGTCCGGGGAGTAGCGTTATCGGTATCTTTTGGTTTCCCCAATGCCGCCACTTTGTCCCCGCGTGGGGTTTGGGCGCGTGAGGGGGCATGTGTAAAACGTCGCCCGCCTGTGCAGAGGCGCTTCGGCATTGTGGTCTTCCAGCTCTTGGCTCTCGTCCTCGATTGGAATGGTGAGCATCGCAGCCCCAGAGGAGAATTGGAGAACAGGGCGCTTGATATCGGCTCGGGGGGGGAGGGTGCTACAGACCCCCGGGGGAGCTTCACGGACTGAGGCCAGCCTCTACATCAGAGAGAGATGTCCCAGCGATGGTGCAGTGGGGTAAAGGAACGACCCCCTTATCGCGCACGGGGGCGCTCAAGGCCAGAGGGCCACCCAGAGGAGGAAGGAATAACAAACTCTCTGGTCCCAACATCCACACTTCAGGGCTCGTTTCGATTTCTCCGATTCGATTCGATTCGATTCGTTTCGATCGTTTCTGATTCCGACGATTCGACCTGGGATTCCGATTTGGATTCTGATTCCTCCGTGGAGGCCTATTACTATTAGCTTGCCGATTTCTGTCGATTCGACTTCTCCCGATTCGGCTACCGATTCCCGCCGACCCGACTAATCGATTTGATGTTGGGCTCTCCTGGGCCACCGTGCGCACGGTGGTCGAAGAAGAACCGTTGCATTAACCTAAATGTTCGACGGTCCGCGTGGATTTTTTGTGACCGCGCAATAGACCACGGCAACTGGAACTTCTGGACGTTTTGCTGGTTTACATGTTTGTTCTGTATGTTGTTTCTGCCTTGCGGTTGTTGTTGCTGGCAAGTTGTTTGTTTTGACGCATTGCTTCTCGTAGGGTTGCAGCTTTGTTGCTTTCAGCAAGAGTTCCATGGGGATTCCCTTCGAGGTGTTCGCGCGAGGCCGAGTGGGATCATGCGCGGCGTTGCCCATTTGCCACGACGCACGCGCGCGCGCTGTTCACGGGAGTTTGCATTAGTAGAAATGTGGTCGTTGCGGCATTGCAGTGTTGCACAGGCCGCGCCCAGACGGCGCATTGGCAAATTGTGCGAAACACATGTGACCGTAAAACGCGTAGGGCTTAATCAAACAAGGGCGCTTACCTCGCTGGGCTTCGGATTACAATGCTCAAGCATGCTAGTGCAGCGCGAGGGTGGAATGCAGAGCACGGGCCAGGGAAGGGAGGACGGGGGGAGAGGGATGGGAGGGGAGGGGGGAAGGGAGGGAAGGACGAGGAGGGAAAGAATGCGTGTTGACTGCACATTGTTGCGCCATAGACGACAGCCACTCGGAAGGATCTTGCAGGACGGTTTGCAGCTTGTCGTTGTCGCAGTTCGCAGCGACCAAGGCTTGCGCATGTCAGTAGTTCGACCATTGTAGTCGAGGCCGTCCACGCGAGCGTCGGGTATCCCATCTCCGCGGTGTCACTTGGTGTGATTGGCAACTGTCGAAAATAATTGCTCTTGGGTGGCTCGTTGGTGCGTCCTGGGCGAGTTTTCCATAAAGCTTGAGCTGCCTTTCCCAACAGAAATTGATAAGGGTCTGGGGTTACCAATTTCACGAACTTCTGCATTGATCACTCGGGATATACATATGCTGGCATTTTTTGTGTATTCGTCGGAAGCACCTCGTTTGAGATCCATCGAATATATCTCTGCTTCATTACCTTGAAGAGCATGCATGACTCCATCCCATATAGCAGATTCGAGAGCACGCGCCTCCAGAAAGCAGTGTTTCCGTGTCTTGATTTATGTTGTTCCCATCGGACTCAAGGATCATATCCCAGGAATATTTTGAGCACCCAGAAAAGTATCGAAACAGTGTCGAACGAGTATCGCCTCCCAGGGCCCGACACGTGAAGACCCGCCAGTTTCGTTTTTTTTTTGTTGCTCGAAACTCTTTCTGGTGACCCGGGCTAAAGTAGCAACATCATAAGTCTTGCTCAAATTGGCGCGGCTCCAAACCAAGCGCAATCTTCTGCATATGCCCTTGGCTTCACCGAGCCTTCGTGTGAGCTCGGCGCGGGGCTTCCCGTCGACGCTTGGCAGGCCCCCTCCACAGAGACCCAGCCATCTTGGCACCATGTTGACTCACCATCCGGTCCAATAATGCTTGCGATCGAAACGTATTTCCCCAATGAGTGCTTGCACTGACGGGGTCCTATCGGATATTGACAGATTTGGCGAAAGTTTCCCGCCGACTTTGGTGGCCGCCCGGGTTCCCGGGTTCCCGGTTCCGGGTTCTTGGGTTCTTGGTCATTGGTTCCGGGCAGATTTCGGTGGGTTTCGGGTTCTCGGGTTCCCGGTCGATCTTTTTATCGATCTCTTTATCGATCCCATTTCAAACCATCCATTGATTGTTTTTTTCTGTGGTGTAATTGCAGAAATACGGACTTCAAAGATGGCTCAAGAGGGCCGCGAGTCGCCTTGTGGTCGCGCTGAGACGCCCATGCTGGCGCCAAGGTTGCCCAGAAGGTTTCCAAGACGGCCCACGATGGCCCCAAGAGAACCCCCAAGAGAGCGCCGAGAGGCCAACATCGTAAGTTTCCCAATTGTTTTTGCATATTTATGGAGTTCTCACCTTATCTTGGTCCGGACCACCCAAGACTGCCCAAGCGGCTTCCATAATCACCCAAGGCGCCGCCAAGAAGGCCCTAGACGGCCCAAGAGGGCCGCCAGACGGTTTTAGAGGGTTATAAAGACAGCCCAAGCGGTTCCAAAGGCGGCCCTACAGAGATGCGCAAAGGGGAAAGCGAAGGCGCTTTGGGGCTAAGAGGGCCCCCGAGATCGCCCAGGAGCCACCAAAAGGTCCCCAGGGCCTCCCAAGGGGCCCCCCCAAGAGGTCCCAAGGGGTTCCCAAGAGACATCCAGCAGGGAGGTAGCCCAAGAGGTCCCCGGAGGCATCTCATGGGACCCCTTGATGCATGTAAGATGCCTTTGACCCACGACCCAGACACGGTGCCAGGATGGGCCGAAGGCTACACAAAATATGAACGGATAAACGTGTGTGTAGTACATATGTATATGCATGTGTATATGTGTACAAAGATCCACAAGTATATATCAGAAGCAACTATGCCCCCTCCCCGTAGCCCGCCGACTTCGATAACTGTTGGGCGCCCTTCTTGTACCTCCACTCCTGGGGGCCTCCAAGAGTGTCCAGTTCAAGACGGTTCCAGCGGTCTCCAAGATGGCCCAAGACAGCACCGACATGGCTCAAGAGCGCTCGAAGACGGCGAAGTTGGCATCCAGACGGACCCCAAGAGTGCCACAAGAGGGGAAACTTATTGATTTGTGTCCCAGGGTTGGGCATTTCTTTCTAGCCAAGAACGGCTGAATACCGCTCTGGGAGCCTCCGAGCTCGTCCCAGCACAGCCCAAGAGGTTCCCAACAGGGTCCCCAGGCAGCCCGACATGGGCCAAAGGAGCCCCAACACGCCCCCAAGAGAGCCCCATGAAGAGCATAGGAGGCGTCCAAGAGGATCCAAAAGAGCCCCAACGAATCCCAAAGGCAGCCCGAGAGGGCCCAGGAATGCCCAAGAGGGCCCCAAGATCGCCCAGAGGAGCCCAAAGAGGACACCCAATGAAGCCCACGGAGGCTTATTTGTTCTAACTGTTTGACTTGAACTCTGCTCGTGGCTACCTTGCGCGCCTTCCCTCTGGGGGAATCTTGGAGCTTCTGGGGCCGTCGTTGGAGCTCCCCGTGGGACACGATCCGTGTGGAAGGTGTGCCAGGGTAGGCGTGGGGGCGGGGGGCGAACCTTGTCTCTGGAGCCGCACGTAGGTGAAACTCCGTGCGGGGCACGATTCGTGTGAGAAGTGTGCAGAAGTGAGCGGGACAACGTTTGGGAAGCTTCTCTCTGGTGTCGTAAGTGCAGTTACATGTGAGACACGATCCGCGTGAGGAGTGTGCCGCGATGCGAACCCTGTCTCTGGGTCGTAGGTGGAGCTCTCGGTGGGATGTGCGGACGGTCCGTGTGACGGATGTGCCGAAGGAGCGCAGGGGCGTTATTTGGATGTGTATGCGCACGATTGCGCAGGTGTTCCTATGTGGTGATCGTGGCGGGATAGTTGATACGACGTTGCCTTGGCCTATGCTAGGACCTAAGGGCGCGTGGTTCTAATAGGCATATTATATATACACATGCGCAGAGGCATCACAGGGGATAGAGAGAGAGAGAAACATAACAGAAAAGCGAGAGAGAGAGAGAGAGAGATAGAGAGAGAGCGAGAGGGAAAGAAAGAGAGAGAGAGAGAGACAGAGCGGCCAGAGAGTTTTGGTGAGCTGATGTCGCGTGCGAGGAGGAAGTGGTGGAGTAGCAGTGCCAGGAGGGTGAGGAGGAACAGAGGAGGAGGAGGAGGAGGAGGAGGAGGAGGAGGAGGAGGAGGAGGAGGGGGAGCAGGAGAAGGAGGAGGAGCAGGAGGAGGCGGGAGGAGGAGGAGAGGAGAGAGAGGAACGGAGGAGAGGAGGAGGAGGAGGAGGAGGAGAAGGAGGAGGAGGAGGAGGAGGAGCAGGGAGCAGGAAGAGGCGGAGGGCAGCTCCTGTGTGGCGTCCGCCGGCCGGCTGGCCCCCCGCAAGCTGCGGGCTCCGCGCGGTGCCGGCAGGCCAGCCAGCCAGCAACGCGGGGATGGTGGAGGGCCTGCGGCGTTCCCGCGCGCTGCAGAGCCAGGACTGCGGGGGGGGGGGCGCGGGGCGGGGGGTGGTGTCAGTATCGTCTGACCGATCCGCATCCCCAATGGGGGGGGCATCTCAGTCTCGTCATCCCTTCCCCCCCAGTTTGGGGTACGATTTGCGAAACCCGAAGGGAATAGCATATATCCCCATCTCGGGGGGTGAACCGGCCAGTGGCACAAAGGTCACGCCAGTCGGGATAGGGATCGGTTAAATTATGTTCAGGGTTACATCGGCACGAACGAAGTGGCTGCGGCAATAATGGGGACAACCACTGACAGCAGTTAACGTCCATTTGGAACAGGATTCTCTGTCGGCGTCGCCGTGGATGTTGTCTGTTTGAGACAAAAGGTCGCTTGCCGTGGGTCTCCCGTGGACCACCCTCTTGGGCAAAATTTAAAGGAAGCCCTCCAGATTTGAAGCGTGTGGTTTCGTATTGGCTTTGCGTCTTCTTTCTCCTCCTCATCATCCCCCTCCTCATACTCATCCTCATACTCATCCTACTCCCTCCTCTTCATTCTTCCTTATTGCGAAGGATGGCCCCCATTCGTCAACATCCTCCTCTCCCTTCTCGGTTCATTCTCCCCTCCTCATCGTGCCTTTTCCGTTCCTCCTCCACTTCGTCTTCCTCATCCTGCTCCTCCTCTTTCCCCTGCCTCTCCTCTGGGAGATTACGCAAATAAGCCTTCTGTGGAGGTCTAGCAAACCTATTCCCTCTGTGGAGACGTACTCAGCGTCTTATGGCAACGGCGGAAAGCGAAATACATACTATCCAACCACAGCCAAACAAACAAACCAAAATGCGGATTGCAGACATTGAACACACACACACACACACACACACGCACACACACAGAACATCATCAAGCAACACGTAAATATTGCATTCTCTATCGCATTGTTTCATTGCCCTGTTGCCCCCTCACTCCCCGTTCCGTCCCCATTCCCACCACCGACCACCCCGCCTTTCACTCCTCCTCCTCCTCCTCCTCCTCCTCCTCCTCCTCCCCCTCCTCCTCCCCCTCTTCCGCCCTGCCCTGCCCCATGGAGGGGACCAGGGAGCTGGGAGGAGGGGGAGGAGGAGGGGAGGAGGAAGGATCAGATGGGAGGAGGGAATGCGAGGAGGGGGAGGAGGAGGAGGAGGAGGAGGAGGAGGAGGAGGAGGAGGAGAAGGAAGAAGGAGGAGGAGGAGGAAAAGGCGAATCATGATGGGGAGTACAGTCAGGAGGAGGGGGGAGGAGGGGGAGGAGAAGGAGGAGGACCAGGAGGAGGCACCCGAAGGTCATCCCACCCCTGCAAGCTTTTGGTCCGAACTCGAGCCCAAACCGTGGTGATCGCGCCTCGCAGCGAGGCCACAACAGGCCATGACCTGTTTGCTCGCTGCGGGAGGCCGCAGCCCGCTGACGCCTGCCAGATGTTCTCCGAGCTTGGTCGACGGGGGAAAGGGGAAAAGGAGAGGGGCCTCCCCCCCTCCTCGGAGGCCCAGAGGTTGACACCAACACCAAGATCATCGGCGGTGTGCCCTCACCGAGGGAAGACGCTCCCGATCTCGGCGATGGTGGTAAAAGGTTCGGGCTCCCTGCGTGGCCGAACTGCGTAATGCCACCCACCACGAAGTCTCGGATCACCTCGCCCCTGCCGTCTGGCGGCGCGTCTGGAGTTCCCTGAGAGTTTCGCGGCACGTGTGCAGTGCTGCTCTCAGCCTGGGCAGAGCGGGCGGCGATGCGGGTCGCTGACGGTGGGAGTGGCCACGTGCGTGCGGCATCTTAGCAGAGTTCAGAAGAAAAAAAAACAAAAAAAAACAAAAAAACAAATAACGGACCACCTCGCCCCCCCGGTGGAGGCAGCCCGTGCGCTGGTGTGGCTGCCCGCCCTCCAGGGCCTCCGGCCTCCTGCGCCCCCCGCGTGCCGCACTTCCTGGGGCCCCCGGTGCGTCGCGGGGGCCGCGGCGCGCCGTGCGGGGCGGGCGGCGGGGGCGGCGAGGGGTGCCCCCCCCCCCCCAAGAAAAAACATGTGTTCAATATTCTTATTCTTCTCTTTTGTTCAACGTTTCGGATTCTCCTTGTTGTTTGGCGCTTTCAAGTCAAAGCGTATAGAAGCACTGTTTCTTCAAAAATCGAAGATTCCACCAAAACCTCAACACCTCCAATCGTGAGTTGTACCGTGGATCTAGTTCAGAGGGGGGGAAGCTTCGCGACGCTGTAGGCTCGGCTGACGTCGAAGCAGCGCGGACATCCGTAGACAGGCTAGCGGCGATGTTGGGTCATGGCGCGGCGATGTAGGTTTCGGTATTTGGGGGACGCCTGGCTCCTGTTCTCCTGCAAGTCGCTGTGTCGTGCTAGCTCGATCCATTCGCAGATTGGAAATCTAGGAACGTGTGGTTCGTGATTTCCTACACTTCGGTTTCCAACATCACCGTTACGCGACATAGCCGTTAGGCCGCCCTGGGTTGGGGCAGCGAGGATTAGCGAAGGGCCCGTCTTCCGTTCACGTAATCGGCGCGTTCTGTCGCCAAGTCAGGCGGCAGTGGCCTTCTGTTTGGGGGGGGTTCTCCCCGATTCGTGGATATGGTGCCCACGCGCCAGATCCATGGATCCCCAATCCATCTTAGCGTGCCCGATGGTATCTTTCGTGGTTTCAGCCGCGGTGCACTCGGCTTGCGAGGGGTGCCCCCCCACTAAACAACAAAGACAGCACACGTTCGACTGCGAGCGAGGGGGGAGGGAGCTTCGCCGCGCACGCCCCCGCAGCCTTGCCCCTCCTCGGCAGCGTGCCGGCGCTGCTCGGAGGACGGTGCGGTGACCACACCTTGTGATGAGTCAGTGGGGATTCGGGTCACTTCACGGTTTTGGGACTCGGGTCGTTCTCCGAGGTCTCGGGCGACCAGGGCCTCCAGGGTCCCAAAACCATGCGGTGACGGAACGTGCGGTGAGGTCTTCTAGGTGGAGGAACAAGTAGTTGCGTGCCGTAAGCATAAGAATTTTCGGAGGTCCACGTTGATTTCTTGGATCGGCGCTAGACCCCCCTCCCTGGAGCGCGGAGTGCGCCAGGGGCGGCGCCGGGCGCCGGAGGCGCCGGCAGGGGGTTGCTGCGCCGATCCGAGAAGTCCGCGCGGAATTTTGAAAATTTACGTTCACGTCCGCATGTGCTCCTCGACCTGGGAGGACTTCCAGGCCACCGCACGGTGTGTCACCATAGCGACCTGGGACCCACGGGCAGCGGGAGGGCGCCCCAGCGCGCCTTGGGCGGGGGGGGGCGCGGAGGGCTGCCGTCGGGGGCGGCCAAATGGCCAGGAACACAGTACTCAAACAGATTGAATGGCGTCTACTCTGATTCTAATACGTCCCCTGGCTCCCCCTGGCACGCGCATGTGCCTCGGGCTATGATGTGCACCTCTTGGACACCTCCCTCTTGCACGCTCCCGACACCGCCCTGGGACCCACGGGCAGCCGGAGGGTGCCTCGGCGCGCGCTGGGTGGGGGGGGGGGGGCGGAGGGCTGCCATCGGGGGCGGCCAAGTGGGGGGGTGATTGGAGGGGGGATATCATGGCCAGGGCCATGATACCTTACCAGATTTGATGGCGTCTCCTCTTACAGTCAAAAACCTAATAAAGGACGCGCGACTTTGCTCAGGGTACCCTTGCGTCCTTGCTCTTCCTTGCTCCTGCGTCCTTGGGGTTTTCGTCGCCCGCCGCCCCAAAAATCCGAACTTCGGCTCCCAAGGGTCTTGCGTCCTTACCGCGCGTCCATATTAGGGTTTTTGACTGTAATGCGTCCCCTGGCAACCCCTGGGCCACGCACCTGACCTGGGCCATGATCTGAGAGCCCTCCTCTTGGACACTCCCCTCTTAGACGCCCCCCGGCACACTGTCCCGGGACCCACGGGCGGCGGTTGGGCGCGCCCCGGCTCGCGCTGGTTTGGGGGCTGGGGGGGGGGGGGGAGGCGGAGAGCGTTGCGCCACACGGGGGGGCGATAAGCGGGGGGGCGAGGAAAGATGCACCTTTGGGGCTCGAAAGGGGCACCCTGGGGCCCCAGAGAGGCACGCACGGCGCACGTTTCCTCATCCCCCCCCCGCAATCGCCTTCCCGTTACAGTCAACACTGGTATTGAGGACGAGCGGCTTTCCAAGGCTTTCGACGGCCAGCCCCGCTTACAAAGCTTCGGCATGGGCGTCCGAGGCCCTGGCATCCTCATCGCACATCCTTGCCACCAGTTTTCATTGCAAGCGGCGCCCAAGGGGCGGAGGGCTGGTCACCGTTTTCTTTTTTTCCTTGTTTTGCCGATCCGCGCGGGTCCTCGCACCCCCCCCTTCCCCCCCTGTGCAGTAGATCTTGGATGTTTTTTTGCCACCTGCTTCAGGCAGGCGGAGTCTCCCCCACTGGGGCGCGCTGTTGCCCAGGCAGAGGCCCGGAGCCGGACCCTCCCTCCCCCCGCCCTTCCGCCCACGTGTCATACTGAAAACCATTATGGGTTTCACGAAGCCGTCTTTGGGCAGTCCTGGGCTCAAGTCGGGCGTGTCCCCCTACGGGAGGAATATTGAAGAGCAGTCTGGGGGCAATTTTGTCTGCTGTGTCTGACAATGTTCGAGCATGTTTTGACCATTTCCCATTTTTCGTCCACAACCCGCCTGTAGGAGGACATGCCCGACCTCGTCCTAGGCCAACCAGGACTCTCTCACACCTCGCGCCCCCTCGAGTAAGAAAACGGTCCCCTGCCGAGGAGTGCACCGCCCATCAAAAATCCAGCGCCCCAAGACAGGGGCAGAAGGGGGCCGCCGAGAGGCGTGCACCGACGCCTTCCCGACTGATGGGCGTCCGGGGTCCGAGGCCCTTGCGCCCTCATCGCTCATCGCACATCCTTACCGTCGGTTTTCATTGCACGCAGCGCCCAGGGGGCTGCCCAGGAGCGCGCCGTCCATTGCTTACTCCGTGTCCCTCAGTAGATCTGGGTCCCCAGACTACAAGTACCCCCCAGACTACAGGTACCCCCTCACCGAACTGCAGGTACCTCTCCCCCGGACTACAGGTAGCCTCCCCCCGGGACTGCAGGCACCCCCAGAACTGTGTGAGGGACGCGTCCCAAGAGAGGGGCAGAAGGGGGCCGCCGCGAGGAGTGCACCGACGCCTTCCTGGCCGTCGACCGCCGGCACTTCTGGACGGAGGGCGCCGGGGAGCCCGGCCCCCGCCCCTTCTCCGCGCTAACCTTCAATCGGGCATATTCTTCTACAGCAGGGAGTATTCAAGAATAGTAAAAAGTAGTATGGGGACGATGTTTCGTGTTTTTGGTATGTGCCAATTTTCAGAGTATTTTGAAACAAGCAATTCTTCCAGAATCGGCCTGCAGGCGAATTTGGACGAAAAGTTAAAACATCTCAACAAAAATGCAGGAATGTTCGAAAATTAGTCGAAGAGTCGTCCCCGGACCCTTCTCTGTGACCAGACATGCTCGACTTAACGCTAGCCTCTGCTCGCAGGAGGTCGGCCACGCGCAGAAGGGGGCAGGGGGGAGGGGGGGCAGGCTTCTCAGGGGCACCCCTGCTTCTCAGAAGGCGCGGGCCGTCTCTGCAGGCGTAGGGCCGGCCGCCTTTGAAGAGGTAGCCTCCCCGTGAGAAGCCTCCCCCCCTCCCCGATACACCCTTGCGCGCGCCGCCATCCTGCTTCGCTGTAGCCCCTGCTCGGAGGAGGGCCTCTGTTGAGACCACGGCTGTTTGGCGCCGCCACGGGCTGCCATTGCGGGCCTGAGTGGGGCGGCCTGCGTTCGTGCAGGAAACGTCGATCGAGAAACACAAGCAAATCGCAATGCCAAAACAGCTGACTGTGAAGTACAGGCGCGAGATGGTGGTAGAGCATGTTCCTGTCACGAATGAGTGTTTGTTCCTTGTGCAAGCTATGTGGTGTGAAATTTGTGGTGAAAAGTTGATCGTTTTTTGATCATTGATTTGCCGATCGGCGCGAGCCCTTGCCCCCCCTCCCCCCCCCTGGAGTAGATCTTGGTTGTCTTTGTTGGCGCCTGTTTCGAGCAGGTGAGGACCCTCCCCTATTGGACGCACTGCTGCAAACGGTCGCGCTGAGCAGAGGTCCGGAGCCAGAATCACCCCCCTTCCCCGTCCGCCCAGTGCCGGAGAGCGCCGAACCAGCAAAAGCGCTCCTAAGGCGTGCCCGCCGAAGCAGCAAAAGCGCTCCCAGGCCGTGCCGTGCGAGGTCCGGGCACGGGGCGCTTGTGGCGGCGCCCACGAGGCGCCATTTGGCCCGCGGGCGCGGCGAGGCCCCCGCCGTGCCCGCCTGCAGCGTGGGGCGCCCACACGGCGCTCGCGAGGAGGCGTGGGCCCGCAACGGCTCCTCCTCCTCCTCCTGAAATTTCGGCAGGCTGGGGGACTTCCGAGCCTTCTGAGAAAGGCCCCCTCCTTCTCACTTCCTCCCCGCGCTCGCCGCCAAAAAAAAACGTAACGCAAAATCCCAGAAGTGCAAACACATGTTTGGGAACATGAAGTACGAACGGGTGCCTGCATTTCCAAGAGTCTGCTGCAATCAGCCCGAATTAGTTTCTACTCTGATACGTAGCTAGACTTGTCTTCACTTCCGACAACCAGCAGAAGTTCAAAACTTGAGTGCAATTGGCATAATCAGGTTCAGGTGCAATCGTGGTGTAGAACTAGTTGTCATAACAAATCGCAGGATTTTCCGTCATTTCGTATGGTTCAAGATAAAAACCATGCAATTGTGTAATTGTTGTTGCAGCTTAATTTCTGATGTATAATTAGCCCCAAGCCCAACACTTAGTCATAGCTCAGATCAGATCGAGGGGGCCGAAAGGTCATTCACTGTCCCTGGGTGCGTGGCTGAAGTGGGATTCCGCGATGCGGATTCTTGTCGTTGCTGTTAAATTCTCACTACGGAAGAATGATTATTGTTGATCCCCCGGCTCCGGTGACCACTGTGTTTTGTTTAATTGCAGTGCTTCCCCTGGGGCTCGCCCCTTGTTTTTAATCAGGGAACGCCACTCGGCTCAAACTGTGCCCCTGGCCAAAGGTTTACAACAACAACGGCTCCCCATGAGACTTCCTCGCAATTTAGCGAGGACCCCCGCTCCCGCCTGAGACTTCCTCGCATTTTACTCTGGAATCTGCTCTCGTTCAAGACTTCGTTACAAATTCTGAACGTTTTGCGTATCCCCACCAGACTTACCGCCCTCTTGACTTTTCCTTGCGGGCCGCGAATAAAAAAAGATATCCCCACCAGCCCATCCAGAATCGATGTCCAGGCGAGTTGAGGTGATCAGGGAAATGTGGGAGCAAAGAGGTGGTCGGCCGAACCGTGCGATGAAGGGAGGAGGAGAAGGAGGAGGTTGAATGGATGGATGGATGAGTGAGTGGGGAGAAGGAAGATGAATAGGATGAGGATGAGGATGAGGATGAGGATGAGGATGAGGATGAGGATGAGGATGATGGTGATGGTGATGCAGATGGTGATGGTGATGATGATGATGATGATGAGGAGGAGGAGGAGGAGGAGAAGGAAGAGAAGGAGTAGGAGGAGGAAGGAGGAGCAGGATGAGGAGGGCAAGCAAAAGGGCCAGAGGAATGTTGGATGCCTCTCGGAGCCTCTTGGGATATATCTTGGGCGCTTCTTGGAGGCCTCTTGGGACGTCTTGGGGGTTTCTTGGCGGTCCTCGGGGGCTCTTGGGCGTCTTGGGTGCCTCGGGAGGGCCTCTTGGGGCCGCTTGGGGTCCTCTTGGGGGCCTTCTGGGTGCCTCTTGGGGCCATCTTGGGAGCCATCTTGGTCCATGTTGGGGCCTCCTGGGCGCCTCTTGGGGCGCCCCCCCAGAGCGTCTAAAATGGCATCTTGGGGCGCTCTTGGAGCGCTTTTGGGCGCTCTTGGGGCCGTCTTGAGGCTCTTTTGGGCCCTTCTTGGGGCCCTCTTGGGCCATCTTGGAGCCATCTTGCGGCCTCGGAAGGCTACTGGAAGCGAACGGGCGACGATGCAACAACATTGGTTTTCCGTAGGTGTTTGAAGGATGTTGGCTTCATGGAGGGTCTCTTGGAGCCATCCTGGAGCGTTTTGGGGACCTCTTGGGCCATCTTGGACGCCATCTTGCGCGATCTTGAACCATCTTGGAGGTCATCTTGGGCTCTCCGAGGCGCTCTTGGAGCCGTCTTGGGCGAACACGTACCGTCAGACACCTCGCGAAACGCCCCGTCCAGGTCCAGGGGCGGGGGTAGGGGTGAGGGGTAAACCATTGCTCTCTCGGCGCTCTGGAGTCGCGCGTTGCAATGTACGTAAGAATCGCGCTCTTCCGCTAGAATCCCCCGCAATTTCCTCAAGCGCCGCACTCCCGACACTCAGGCACCCAGGAATCGCGCTCACGCCTAGGATTCCCTCACAGTTTATTGAGGAATCGGGATCTCGCTGCCCTTCATGGCCCCGTTGCAGCCCTTCGTGGCCCCATTGCTGCCCTCCGTGGCCCCGTTGCAGCCCTTCGTGGCCCCCTCGCTGCCCGTCGTGGCCCCGTTGCAGCCCTACGTTGCCCCCTCGCTGCCCGCGTCGTGGCCCCGTTGCAGCCCTTCGGGGCCCCCTCGCTGCCCTTCGTGGCCTCGTTGCAGCCCTTCGTGGCCCCCATTGCTGCCCTCCGTGGCCCCGCTGAAGCCCTTCGTGGCCCCCTCGCTGCCTTTCGGGGCCCCGTTGCAGCCCTTCGTGGCCCCCTCGCTGCCCTTCGTGACCCCGTTGCAGTCCTTCGTGGCCCCCTCGCTGCCCGTCGTGGCCCCGTCGCAGCCCTTCGTGCCCCCCTCGCTGCCCTTCGTTGCCCCGTTGCAGCCCTTCGTGGCCCCTTCGCTGCCCTTCGTGGCCCCATATATGTGAAAGAGCGTGTTCTACCGCTGCTGGCGGAAAACCGGGGGGGGTCACTACCGGTTCGAACCCCTCCCCCCCCCCCCCCCCTCCAGAAAACCGGGGGGGGTCACTACCGGTTCGAACCCCTCCCCCCCCCCCCCAGCTCATCATGAAAAGGGGGGGGGGTCACTACCGGTTCGAACCCCCCCCCCCCCCCCCCTCGAAAACCGGGGGGGGTCACTACCGGTTCGAACCCCCCCCTCCCCTCGAAAACCGAGTGGGGGTGCGGACAGTGGTGGGGACGGTGTTGGTGGGGACAGTGGTGAGGGGATAGCGGGACAGTGGTGGGGACAGTGGGACAGTGGGACAGTGGTGGGGGGGGCGGTAGTGGTGGGGACAATGGTGGGGACAATGGTGGGAACAGGGGGGGACAGTGGACAGTGGTGGTGACGGTGGTGGTGGGGACAGTGGTGTGGGGACAATGGGAATGAGGTGGAAACAGTGGGACAGTGGAGGGTACAATGGTGGTGGGGACAGTGGTGAAGGCGGTGGCGAGGACGGCGGTGGGACAATGGGACAGAGGTACAGTGGGGACAGTGGTGGGGACAGTGGGGACAGTGGTGGGAACAGTGGGACAGCTCAGTGGGACAGCGGAGGAGTCAGTGGGACAGTGGGGACAGTGGGGATAGTCGGGCAGTGGTTGGGGCCGTGGAGACAGTGGGGAGAGTGGAACCGTGGTGGGAACAGTTCTGGGGACAGCGGGGACAGTGCGACAGTGGTGGGGCCACTGGTGGGGACAGTAGGGGCGGTGGTGGAACCAGTGGGGACAGCGGTGGTGAGGACAGTGGTGCTGGGAACACCAGTGGGGGATGTGATGCGGACGGTGGTGGTGGGGACCGGGAGTCGTTTGCTGGCGGTGAGTAGGGGGGGGGGAGGGGGGGGGGGGGGGGGTCCGAACCGGTAGTGACCCCCCCCGGTTTTCCAGATCCGGAGGGGGGGGGGGGGGGGGGGGGGGAGGGGTTCGAACCGGTAGTGACCCCCCCGGTTTTCGAGCGAGGGGAGGGGGGGGGGGTTAGGGAGGGGGGGTTTTGCCGGGGGAGGGGGGGGGGGGGGGAGGGGTTCCAGCAGGGGGGGGGGGATTTTCGGGGGGGGGGGGGGCGACCCCCGGGCTCCGGAGGAAAAGGATGGCAATTTTCCACAGTAAAGCGGCGGTGGATCACGCTCTCTCATATATGTATGCCCTCCGTGGCCCCTGCTCGTTGGCGCCCTTCGTGGCCTCATATGCATGCGCTTCGTGGCCCCGCTGTCGCCCTTCGTGGCCCCATCGCTGCCCTTCGTGGCCCCGTTGCTGCCCTCAGTGGCCCCGTCCTTGCCCTCTGTGGCCCAATCTACGTATGCCCTTCGTGGCCCCCGCTCGTTCGTGCCCGCCGTGGCCCCATATGCATGCCGTTCGTGGCCCCGCTGTCGCCCTTTGTGGCCCCCTCGCTGTCCTACGTGGCCCCGTTGCTACCGTCAGTGGCCCCGTCGTTGCCCTCCGTGGCCCTGCATTACCTGCCCTTCGTGGCCCCCGCTCTTTCGGCCTTTCGTGGCCCCATACGCATGCCCCTCGTGGGCCCTTCCTGCCCTTCGTGGCCCCGCTGTCGCTCTCGCTCTCGCGTTCGCTCGTCGTCGTCGTCGCCGTCGTCGTCGTCGTCGTCGTGGTCGGTCCCCTGTCCGTCCCTCTTGGGGTCGGATTGCAGCCGATCAGCGCTGCCGTTAGCCAGGCCGACGGTCCGCGGCCGCCCCGCCGCTTGCCGGGGCCTGGCCTGCAGGGAAGAAAGATCTACCCCCCAATGGGGGCACGATCGAAGACGAAGAGGTCGGGTATCGAGGGTTTGGGGAGAGTGCACGTTGAAAGACATTCGAGCAGATAAGAGCGAACAGTTTTTAAATGATTGTTGTTGTTGGTGTCGTTGTTGGTGTAAGTGTTGTAAGAGTTGTTGTTGTTGTTGTTGTTGTTGTTGTTGTTGTTGTTGTTGTTGTTGTTGTTGTTGTTGCTGCTGCTGTTGTTGTTGTTGTTGTTGAACATTATTTATTCTAAAGAATAATTATTGTTGGGCCCCCTGGTGCGCGCCCCCCCTGCGCCGCCTAGGCCGCAGCTACATTTTCATCATTTTCGTGAGGAAGCCTCAGAAAAGAGGGTGTGTACAGGATCCGGTTGTTTTGTTGTAATCCGCTTTCCCTTGCAAAAAACAATAGAAAATGACATTTCTTGTTCTAATATAATCAAATTTCAAGAATCCCTTGCAAAAAATAAGGTAAAGTGGACATTCGCGCGCGCAAGACGAAATCCTTCCAAAACCTTAGTGTTCGCAGCGATTTTAACATAAAAACATCAAAAAACCAATGGTTTTTCAACAAAAAAATGTCAAAATCTCATCCCGCGCGCTCTTGCGGATTCGTAGGAAACCCAACACTTTTTAAACATTTCTGTCAAACGGGCTTTTGCGAGCAACTTTTTCGAACTTCTGCGACAACGGTTGCGCACCTGCCAGGGCCATCATCCCTGTCAAATAATACCATGCGGGACACATTCGTTTTTTCTTCGCGCGCGCACGCCGTCGTCGTCGGCCGCGGGGCCCTGAATAGTAGCCACGGTCGTCCGCATGCCACGAAGTGAAGTGTCCGAACGTCATAGGGCGGGAAGCTGGGTGTGGGTGGTGGCGAAGAGTCGTTTGGAAATTTGGTAGAGCTTGAACCGGCCCCCCCACAAAGTGGGGGTATTTCCCGCCTCCTATGAAAACCCTGGCACTGGTGAGAACGGAGTGTCCCCACGTGCTAGTAATTGTTGTTGTTGTTGTTGGTGTTGTTGTTGTTGTTGTTGTTGTTGGTGTTGTTCTTATTATTATTGTTGCTGCTGTTGTTTTCGTTGAGTTTTCACTCCTGAAGAATAATTGTTGTTGATCCACCCTCACCGGTGCAGGTTGTCTTGTTTCAATCAAAGTGTAAATCTTCAAGATCAAACTGGGCCCCTGGCCCCCGGATTACAACAACAACGGCTCCCGCCTGAGATTTCCTCCAAATTTCTCCGGACCCCCGCTCCCGCACGAGATTTCCCTACAGGTTACTCAGGATCGGTGCTCCCGCCTGCGACGTCCTCGCAATTTAGTCAGGACCCCCGCTCCCATCTGAGACTTCTTCACAATTTACTCTGGCAAAGCGCTCCCGCTTGAGACTTCCTCGCAATTGAGCCAAGACTTCCTCGCAATTTCATCAAGACCCCCGCTCCCGCTGGAGAACTCCTCACAGCGCTTTCGCTTAGAACTTTCTCGAACGTTCATGCTTGTACCTTCCTGCTCCTCCTCCCTCTCCATCCTCCCTTCTCCCTCCTCTCCTCCCGTCTCTCTCCCTCCTCTACTCCCTCATCCTTATGCTTCTCTGCCCTATCCCCTCTCCCTCCTCTCTCTCCTCCATTCTCCCCCCCCTCTCCTGCCTCCTATCTTATCTGTCTGTCTCTCTCTCTCTCTCTCTCTTTCTCTCTCTGCCTCTAGTCAACCGCCCCCCTCTTCGCTCCTTCTCCGTTTCCCTCTTCCTTCGTCTCTCCCCTTCCTTTCCTCCCACTCTCCCTCGTTCTCCCCCTCCTCTTTTTGCAGGGCCCACGCCAATTCCAATGGCTGGCACATGTACGCCCACGAAGGATTGTCCGCCCGTTCAGGTTCGCCCGCCTGTTTAAGCCCACCGCCCCCCGCAAACAGAAATAATCCCCCAAAGGGGCTGTGATCGAAAACAAAAAGGGCGGGTATCGAGGGTGTGGGAATCTCGTTTTGAATGACGTATGGGCAAGTAAGAACGAACAGTCTTATAATGATTGTTGTTGTTGAATTCTCATCTGTGTAGAGTAATTGTTGTTGATCCCTACCATCACCAGTGCAGACTATCTTTTCTCAATCAAAGTGTGCCCTCGACGCTCGCACGACAGAGCAAGTATTGTTCTTGTTTGTTTTTTGTTTTTTGTGTTGTTTGTTGTTTGTTGTTGTTTGTTGTTTGCTGTTTGTTGGCTGTTGTTTGTTGTTTGTTGTTTGTTGTTTGGCGCCGTCCCCCCCGCGAATCGGCCCGCGACCGGCCCGCGACCCACCCCGCGACCCGCCCGCGGCCCACCCGCGACCCACCCGCGACCCACCCCGCGACCCACCCGCGACCCACTCGCGACACACACCGCGACCCGCCTACGCCCCCCCCGCGACGCACCCGCGACACACTCGCGACCCACCCGCGACCCACCCGCGACCCACCCGCGACCAAACCGCGACCCACCCGCGGTCCGGCCCGAGACCCACCCAGGACCCACCCGCGACCAACCTTGCGACTTTGTCGTTGTATAATTTGTAAGAGTGCGACGCCTGCGGCGGGCTTCTTCGGAGCCTCGCAGAATGCAGACGTTTCCGCCGCTCGCTCACGTTTATCCTCGACTGCGGGGTGCTACGTATCCAGCCGGACGTTGACTGAGACGATTCCAACATCCAAGTACGATCCGAATACACATGTTCACAGCCCATGGTAGTTGGAATGTTCAACGTGTCCCATGCTTTGACCCGCACAAAGTCCTGGTTGCTCTTGCCAGAGTTGATTCAATGCGTCCAGAGTTGGCAGCGGAGTTTCGCGCCTTTCGAGCTGCACTGCAGAGCGCGATGTGTCTTGCTGTTTTGACTCGTGGATCTTAAGTGCGCTTCGGGGCCGTTACCTGGGTGATGGGAGCCTCGCCCAGGATGCCATTCGCAGACCCTTGCTGTCTGCCATGGATCGTTCACTTTCGCCACCCGACGACATCGACCGAGGGTGGGACCGACCGAGCGGCAGACGAGGAGGCAGCAACGGAGGATGAGGGTGATGGTAAGAACTCACATTGGGAAATAAAGTTGTTTCTTTGCAGCAGGAGCGGGAATTCGTGTACGCCGACACGCCGCTGCGGACACTGTCGGGGGGAATCGTTGCCGTCAACATTTGTTGGATACCAGAGCAGCGGCAGAACATGATTGAGCAGTTGTTGCAGCCGTTGTCTTGATGACAATCGCGAATGGGAATTTGCGCGCATTGCCGCGTGGACAGCAATAAGTTAAATTATCCCGGTGTGACCCGACCTAGGAGTTGGAGCTTCTAGGAAAGCAACATTAGCAGGAGCGGTAAACGCCGTCCTCCTCCTTTTCCTCATCGTCGTAGTTGTAGCAGTAGACGTAGTAGTAGTAGTAGTAGTAGTAGTAGTAGTAGTAGTAGTAGTAGTAGTAGTAGTAGTAGTAGTAGTCGTAGTGGTAGTGGTAGTGGTAGTGGTAGTAGTAGTAGTAGTAGTAGTAGTAGTAGTAGTAGTAGTCGTAGTAGCAGTAGCAGTAGCAGTAACAGTAGCAGTAGCAGTAGCAGTAGCAGTAGCAGTAGTAGTAGTAGTAGTAGTAGTAGTAGTAGTAGTAGTAGTAGTGGTAGTGGTAGTGGTAGTGGTAGTGGTAGTTGGTAGTAGTAGTAGTAGTTGTAGTAGTAGTAGTAGTAGTCGTCGTCGTCGTCGTAGTAGTAGTAGTAGTAGTAGTAGTAGTAGTAGTAGTAGTAGTGGTAGTAGTAGAGGCTATGCTGGGCTAGGCTATGCTGGGCAATGCTATGCTGGGCTAGGCTAGGCTATGCTATGCTATGCTGCGCTATGCTATGCTGCGCTATGCCATGCTATGCTATGCTATGCTTTTGCTTTGTCTTCGCTTTTGCCTGCACTTTTGCCTTTGCTTTTGCTTTTGTTTGGCACCCAGGGGGCGCAACTGGGGGAACCGCGTGTTTGCTTTTACCTTTGCTGTTGCTTTTGCTTGGCTCCCAGGGGACAGGGGGAACCGCCCGAGGCGGTTTCCACTGCCCGGCCCCTTTAAGCCAAGAGAGTAAGAACTCTTCTAGGCAGAGCCTAGGTAGGGAACAAATGAATAGGTCGAGTGAGTGAGGCTTGCGATTTTATGAATGGCACCCTGTCTAAGACCTTCCTCCCAAGTTTTCAAGCTGGGGTGTGGAAGAGTGTGGTGTTGAGGATTCTTCCCAGTGGGATGCTCACGCGTCTGTTTCTAAATCAAAGCGGTGAGTGTCTACGCGGTGGGGACAGTTTCGCTTATTCAGGCAGTTGGAGACTCCGTGTCGACACCAGCAAGGCGATTCGGGAAGATCATGAAGGCACCGACAAGTGCTGTCCTTGATCCGCTGGATTGAGCTATGCGTGTCAATAGCTCCACGTCGCACTGATCGATTCGAGCACGCGCAACAGTGGGCGACCCTCCTCATCTCATGATCGGGATTGGCGGTCAATCTGCCGTTCGGTTCGACAAGGTGCACGCTGGATCGGCGGGAGCTTCCCAGGACCAAATTTACAAGCTATGTGCCTCGAGTTGTTCTCGGAGGTTTTCCGGTGGGGCAGAAGGTTTAAGCAACGACCCGCCCAATCGCCCGCTAGGCAGTGGCCGTAGCCCCGACCCAACCCCGACGTCGACAAGCCCACCCATCCACAATCCACTCCGCCCACACCACTACCTCTTCGAGGCGGGAGTTTGTACGGCTGGTTCGCGTCGTTCAAACTTGAACGATCCGGCCTTTTTGAACGGGCCGATCGTTCAAGTTTGAACGATCCCCGCGGTGTCAGGAACCAACGCCAGTATCGACACGACGCAGACCTGCCGTATCTAACCAGTGTTGCGGGAGCCGATTGCCCAGGACCCGAGGAGGCAATGGATATAGGCGGCCTCGGGCCCTGGATGGGGCGCTGACGTATATGCATGCCCGCCGCCGAGACGGGGGCCCTGGCACATCGGATTTTCCAGGCGGTGGATGCGTGCGTGTACAGTTAGGTCGGGCATGCCCCCCCCCCTACAGGCGGATTTTCGACGAAAAGTAAGCATTGCCAAACATAGCAGGAAAAATCATCCATGTATCATTTTTTGTCCGATAAATCATCCCCATCTTATTGTTGTTGCTATGTTTGAAGACTCCTCCTGTAGAGGGACACGCCCGACTTCAGTGTACAAGTCTCCGCCTCGTAACCCAGCCGCCACCCCTCATCCAGGTGCACGCCATCGCGGGTCTCTTCAGAAAGAGCGGGTGGGTCTGCTTTGAGCTGTCTTGGAAGGTCTCGGAGGGTCTTGGCAGAATGCCGCCTTCGCACGGCTGGTCTTGGGGGGGCGGGGTCTAAAGTTACCCGTCTGCGAGGGCTGTGACCCCCTCCCTTTGGGGTCGATGTCCGTCCGTATAGGCTCTTCCTGTTCCGTTCCCCCTCTTCCGCTCTTTTGGTTCCCGTCTGCCAGGTGGATAAGAGCTACACGAGGTTTCTTGTCCCTTGTTGTTGCATGTGCTGGGTTGGTATAAGAGTGCCGCGCTCGAACCTGGCCTGTTTGCTAACTGCCAAAACATGTTCCTTTCCCCCCTCCTGGTTCGCCTCGTCTCCCGCGCGGAGGGGCGACGCCAGGCCACATCCGGGGCCCCAGCTGTGCTCCGCATTTGGGGTCCAGATCGGACCGCGCCGGGGGCCACGCGGCCCCCTCGGGTTGATGGACAAAATCCTGCATCGCCCGCGCAACCGGGGCGACGGCGCAATCTTTCCCGCGCCCCCGTTGGCCCCCGATTCGATGTTGGTGGGCTGCGCCCGCGGGGTGCAGGATTCAGGTCAGTCGGCCGGTCGACAAATCGCGCCACAGCCTGCCAATATGAAATTGCGGTCGCGGGGGCCAGAAGCAAACATCGGAACAACAGTTGCAGGATTTTGTCCATCAGCCGTCTCCCTCTCATTATGTCATTCGGAGTGCACGCCGTCGTGTCGTCGTCGCCGCCGCCATCGTCCGCGCCGCCGTGCCCCTCGGCGCGCGCTGCGCGAGGCTTCGGGGGGCCCTCGAAGACCCGCGGGCGCCGTCGAAGGCCCCGTTGGGGGCCTCGGAGGCCTTCGAAGGTCCGGGCCTGGAGGGCAGCAGACAACGTCGGAGGTCTCGGTCGCAGATCCTGGGATGTCCCCGCGATTCCGCTTTCAGAGTGCGTGAGCGTGCGCTGGCGTCCGGTGGTCGGAGAGAGCGACGATTTCGCATCGACCCGCGTCGCGCTTTGGGGAGCGTCGACTGGCGCCGGTCAGCGTCGACATCGGCCAGCAAGATGGCACAGGGAGGCTCCCCTGGAGCTGCCACGGAACGTCGGAGGTTTGGGGGTGATGAGGTCTTCCTCTTTTGCTTTCGGTGTTTTGGCTTTGCTGCTGTTGTGGTTTGGCCCTGTCGCCCGGTGGGGAGTGATGGTAGCTCGGGCTCGTGCAGGAGTTGCGATTCGCTCGAATCGCGATGGTCCGACTTTGATGGGGGCACGCGCTCACCAGGGACAACGGACTCCTCGTGCATAGTACCCGCCGCTGGTCCTCTTTGCTTCTCTTGCTTCTCGTTGTGCATGCAGCGCATGGCCTGCAGTTGACGATTGACCATTGCGAGTGTGCGCAGCGGTGGAAACACATGTATGGTCCCGGGTTCCGGGCCCACGGGCCCCCCCCCCTCCCCCCCAGATGGTATGGTTCCAGGATTCCTCGGGCCCCCCCCCCCCGATGGTATGGTCCCGGAGACGACGACGACGACGACGACGACGACGACGACGGCGACGACTACGACGACGGCGACGACGACGACGACGACCACGACGACGACGACGGCTGCCGCGGCGACGACGCCGGCGGCGGCGGCGACGACGACGATGACGACGATGACGACGGCGACGACGAGACGACGACGACGAGGACGACGACGACGACGACGACGACGACGACGACGACGACTACGACGACGGCGACGACGACGACGACGACCACGACGACGACGACGGCTGCCGCGGCGACGACGCTGGCGGCGGCGGCGACGACGACGATGACGACGACGACGACGACGACGACGACGACGAGGACGACGAGACGACGACGACGACGACGACGACGACCTCTGAACCACCACAGCACCACACCACATCCACAGGGGGGGGGAGGGGGGCACCGCAGCGCAGCACCACGCCACGCCCACCTCTGAACCACCACAGCACCACACCACATCCACAGGGGGGGGGGGGGCACCGCAGCGCAGCACCACGCCACGCCCACAGGGGGGGGCGGGGGGGACCATCGCGCGGGGGGGGGGGCCCAATGGCATCAGCATTGGGGGGGGGGGCCCAAGCCCTGGACCATATATCCTCGTCCCCCTCCCCAGCCTCTCCCACCCAACGGGAGGGGCGTCCAATGACTGGGGAACTTCGGGGCCACATTTTCAACAGGGCTGCTGTGCCGTTGTTGAGAGGTGGCTGCGTGTCTTCTGCGGGGGCATGCTCTGGTTGAGCCTCGGAGTTCGCAGTGCAGTCCCGAGCAGCGCTTTTCTCCCCTCCTCGCGTCCAGATTCCCCCCCAAGCTTGCAAGTGAGATCGCCGTCCCATATCCTATTCGCGTTCGAGCTGCAGCATGCGAGGCCGCAGCGGGGTCGAAGTGAACAGGGTATCGTGAACATCCACTGGCCATGGGCCAAAACCGCTTACGTGCCTGGGTCGTGAACCCGAGGGCTCCCTGGACAATTTCTCCTGGGGTCTCTCCGGGGGGCGTCTGGGGGCATCTCGGAGATCTGTTTAGGTCTTCCGGGAGCCTCGCAGGGGGGGGGGCAGTTTGGGGTGGCCTTGGAGCCTTCTTGGGGGCCTGTTGGCGGTTTCTGGGGAAATCCGTCCGGGGAAAGCTTCCTAAACCTCTTCGCGTTCCTTTCTTGGGTTTTTCCTGGCCCTCTGGGGAAGCATTTCGGACCGTGTCGGGACGATCTCAGGGGCCACTTAGGCCGTCTTGGACGGTCGGGAGCCCCGAAAAGGCCAGAAAGCCAAACTGTTTGGACATCCGCCAGAGACTCATGAGTTCGGGCATCAGTGGGCCATCTTTGGAATCATTTTGGGACCTTCTTGGGGCGTCTCTCAGTGGCCTTTCAGGCCGTTTGGCAGGCGTCTCGGGGCGTTTTTCGGCCGATTCCCAGGCCCTCTTGGGAAATCAGTGGGCCTTCTTGGGCCGTCTCGGAGGGTTTTGCCCGTGTGGAAAGTCAGGCAACAAACCCCAAGAATCCTGCGATCCGCCTCGCGAGTTGCTGCTTTGGGCTTCTTGATTAAAGGATTGTCGCAATCTCCCGTATAACGAACTCGAGCAGACCTGGGGACACTCCACGCATTGCCTGCGGAACGGTGGCGGATTTGGTTTTCATGCCCGGCGGCCCCGCGAACACATGTGGTTGGCAAGTGTGGGGCGATGGTGCGCGGGTGGCAGTCCCAGGCGTCTTTGCGAGGATGGGTGGTGCCGTCTGTCAAGTCTCAGCCTGTTCTGAAATAAGATGCGCATTTTGTCTTAGCCCGTCTGTCCTCAAACCAGAGACCGCGCTACAACTCCGAGCTGGAACCCGCTTGCCGCATCAACAAATCATGGGCCCCATTGGAATGTCCAGGGGCCTCGCTAGATGCATGTGATGTTTCGTGGGTGTTCCGAGGGGCCAACCGTATAGCAACGACGCCATACGGCACTTCTCTTCCACATGCCTTCTGGATCCGGAGAAGACCCTAACATATGATGGCTGTCTTTTCCAACGCCCCGAGGATCGCAACATACGGCGGTTATCTGCCCCTGGGCCAAGCATGGCATCGTCGGGAATTGTTTGGTGGCCTCTCGGAAGCCTCACGTTGACTTGTTGGGGCATTCTTGGGGGCCCCAAAGAGGGTCTTCGGGCTGTCTTGGGTAATTTGAGGGCCGTCTGAACAGGTCGTCGAGCCGTCCCAGAGTACTTTTGTATCCATTTGACAGGGCACTGGGTCCATCTTGAAGCCGTCATGTGTCTTGTGTTTGCCTCGCTCTTTAGGGTCGTCTTCGGGACGGGTGGGTCCTTTTGGAAGCAATGTTATCAGAATGTTGGGTTTAGCGTGACGCGTCGCCGATTCTGGCCCACGACGCTTCGGCGCGACACGCGAACCATTTCCCAATGCCCTAGCGTCAATGTCCCGAGCGGTTCTCGGCCTTCCGCCCCGCGAAGCGGAGCGACACAATTCCCGCTCTCAAGGCATAGGTTTTCGCCGGGGCCGCCGCCGCGACACGCCAAGCAGCATTCGCCTGACCGTATCGAGCTTTACCTTTGGCCGTGGTGGCTTTCTTGTGATATCTTGCAGAATCAGGTCTGGGGATCTTGCGGCGGGACGCCCGGGGAGCCTCGAGAAGGGGGGCGTTGCGCGCGTCTTGGCGAGACGAAGGGGGTGTTTGGACAAGCGCAGACAGCACAGGATACCACTCGATTGCGCGCGAGCGGGTAGTGAAGCAGATTCAGGAGAAGAGGAGGGGGACTCCAGCGTTTCTTGTCCATGAGTTCCCCGCAGCTGCTTAGGAAGTGCCGGTCGAAATCTAGGGGGGCTTTACGTGCGCGTTTGCTTCCCAGGAGCGGAAAGCTTCATCTCTCCGCGCCGCACATCTACGCCAAGGTGCTTTGGAATGCCTGCGGCAGCAAATTTGCTCGCACTCGTCACCATCACATCGTTGGAAGTTAGCAGCTGTGTAGCTCGACATAACCTGAAGGAGTTGTGTGAACTCGTCATCCTGACCCGCCGCACGGGGAAACGAGGCCTCCAATCGCGCCCCCCTGCCTTGGGAAACGGGAGAGCGGAGAGCATATGCAGCCGAGTTCGCGCGAGAGGTCCTCACAGAGGAGGCCTTCACATCTCCCCAGTGAGGCGGTCGCGGGGAAGGTAATGATGATGATGATGATGATGATGATGATGATGATGATGATGATGATGCTGATGCTGATGCTGATGCTGATGCTGATGCTGATGCTGATGATGTGATGGCGATGTTGATGATGTGATGATGATGATGATGATGATGTTGATGATGCTGATGCTGATGCGGCTGCTGCTGATGATGATGATGTTTATGATGATGATGATGATGATGATGATGATGATGATGATGATGATGATGATGCTGATGATGATGATGATGATGATGATGATGAGTATGACGATGATCATGATGATGGTGGTGGTCCTGGGCGCTCTGTACAAGACTCACTCGAGAGATCTCGAGGCTCATGGCTATAGAACTTGCCAGCAGGCGCTCGGCACAAGACTGACTCGAGAGATCTCGAGGCTCGTGGCTATACAACTTGCCAGCAGACGCTGTTGGTAGTCAACATGAGATGATAGCAACTTCGATTCGCAACTTCCCCCGTGGATTATAAAGTTCGGCCTCCGCGCCTATCTCCACAATTAAATCCTGCAGGACAGGAATAATGAACATAGAGGGGATGAAGGGGGGGATGTTTTATTATCGCCCGTGGTCGGTTAATCGACCCGCTGTAGTGCAACCACCTCGAACCAGCCCAATTGGCGCCGACACGCGATGATGATGATGATGCTGACGATGATGATGATGATGATGATGATGATGATGATGATGATGATGATGATGATGATGATGATCATGATGATGATGCTGATGCTGATGCTGATGCTGATGCTGATGCTGATGCTGATGATGTGATGGCGATGTTGATGATGTGATGATGATGATGATGTTGATGATGCTGATGCTGATGCGGCTGCTGCTGATGATGATGATGTTTATGATGATGATGATGATGATGATGATGATGCTGATGCTGATGCTGATGCTGATGCTGATGCTGATGATGTGATGGCGATGTTGATGATGTGATGATGATGATGATGATGATGATGATGATGATGATGTTGATGATGCTGATGCTGATGCGGCTGCTGCTGATGATGATGATGTTTATGCTGATGATGATGATGATGATGATGCTGATGCTGATGATGATGATGATGATGATGATGATGGTGATGATGATGATGATGATGATGATGATGATGATGATGATGATTATGTTGTGATGATATTGATGATGATGCGATGATGTTGATGGTGTTGTTGATGCTGATGGGACATGGTGGTGAGGTGGAGAGACCAGGGGTGCAACGGGGCTGCGCCACAGTAAGAGGCGGTGGGCCAGATGTACTCTCGAAAACAACAAAATATTGCTGGAGGAACCATACAGCGGAAGCCCATGCCAAAACACATCCTGCTTGCCTCCAGGGCGCCCTGGGTTTCTTGGGTTTCGAGGGTTTTGCCATGGAACGCCTGACGCTTCCACACCAACAATCCATGGACGTCCTGGGCTCTCCAGGGTTGGGTTTCTAGTGGAAGGTTTCTTGTGGTCGGGCCCCCACTGTACCCCTCCGTCCGCTGCCGCCTGCGAGCACCATATCCTCGTTGACCAGAGCGTCCGAAACGGCAGGGGTGCCATGCGTCCTTCCCGAGCTTCCGCGCCCGCCCGCCCGCCTGCTCTCCGCCGGGCTCCGCCCCGCCCCCCAGCTGGGCTGAGTCTTGAGCTGGGGATGGGGCCGAAAGTGCAGTGGAGGCCCATGACAAGAAAAATCCTGCTTGCCTCCAGGGTGCCCTGGTTTTCTTGGGTTTCGAGGGTTTCGCCGTGAAACGCGTGACGCTCCCACACCAATCTTCCATCATGCACGTTCTGGGCCTTCCAGGGTTGGGCTTCTTGTGGAGGGTTCCCTCTGGTCGAGCCCCTACTGTAGCGTCCTTAGGGTGAGGCTGCGGCTGAGGCTGCAAGAGCGGAGAGGTCGCCGTGGCAAGCTGGAAACCCGAGGGAAGCTTGCGCGAACGCCACAGGACTTTGCCAGGGACCTGGTGCGAAAAGGGCAAGGGAAATGAGTTACTCGACGCTGAGATTCCCATACGTGCATCTCCTTTCCTGGCGCGTCCCGCCGTGAGTGCCTGGCTGTGTATGTCTGGGTGCGCGATCGATTCCAAGTGGACGACGGGTACGACGACGACGGCGGCGGCTGAGATGAGGGGCAGCGACGACGACGACGACGACGACGACGACTCACATACAGGGAGTCAGCAGGTCCATCCCTTCTCCTCCCTCTCGTTTTCCTCCTGGGTCCGCCTCCTTTCTCCGTCCTCTCTCATCCCTCTGGGCGGCCGTCCCCCTCCTCCTGCGTCTTCCTCCCTCCTCGTCCTCCCTCCTTCTCTCCCTCCCTCCCCTCTTGGCAGGTGCCCCCCCTCATGGCGGTCCGCTCGCCTCTCCGTCCTCTTTCCCTCCCGCCTCACGTCTCCCTCTTCGTACGTCCTCCTGATTCCTTCTCCGTCCCCCCCCCCTCTCCTGACATCGAGGCGATCGTGGGGCTCTGCACGGACAGGGGTCCGAGGTTTCAAGACGAGCGCCTCGCTCGAGACGTTCCCCTGATCTGGCAGCGAGCGGCCGAGTGTCCTGCCCCCTTTGCGGCTCCCCGTTGGGGGAGGCTGAGGCCCGCACCTCGCGCGAGGCCCTCTCGAAATCCGCTCCCTGGCGGCGCCTCTCTCTGGGGTGCCGAAGCCAGCGCCCTGCTCGAGACGTCCTCACAGTCTGCTCCCTGGCGGCTCCCCCTCGGGTGAGGTGCTGAAGCGCCTCGCGCACGCCATCCTCGCAAGCTGTTGTAGAAGTAAGGACAGGTCGGGCATGTCCCTCTACAGCACGAGTATCCAAAAATAGTCAACACATAGCCTGGGGACGATGTTTGGACTATTTTTGATCATTTTGGGAGTATGTTTTAACTCTTCGTCATTGTTCGTATAAAATCCGCCTCCAGGGGGACATGCCCGACCTAAGGGAAGCCAGAGGGCCAGAACAGGCACTCCGTCTGCGACGCCACCACGGTTTGGCGCGGACAGGCCATGGCGGCCTCCACCTGGGGTGCTGAAGCCAGCGAGTCGCCGGAGGCCTAACGCATGATGGGCCTGTTTTCCCCCACCGCCACCATAAGTTGGAGGGGGGGAGGAGGAGGAGGAGGAGGAGGAGGAGGAGGAGGAGGAGGAGGAGGAGGAGGAGGACCCCCTCCCCCTCCAACTTATGGTGGTGGAGGTGGAAAACAAGCCCATCAAACGCAGGCTCGCAGTCTGCTCCGAAAGCAGAGGGAAGTCTGGGCCACCGCACGCGCAGACCGCCGGCAACCTCCCCGCGGCCTGGTGGGCGGGCAGGGCCGTGCAGCCGGCCTCGGCGGCTCCCCCCTGGGGGTGCTCCATGCGGCGCCTCGCTCGAGACGTCCTCGCGAGCTGCTCTGGGAGCAGAGGGGGAGGCTGGGCAGCCGCACGGGCAAGCCGCCCGCGACGTCCTCACGGTCCGGCTGCGGACGGGCGAGCGTCCCCACCCGTGGCGGCTCCCCCCCCTGGGGGTGTGGAAGCCAGTGTCTCGCTCGAGGTATTCGCACACAATCTGCGAGTCTCTGCGTGAGTGAGTCGGAGTGCGAGTGGGTCCGAGCGTGAGTGGGTCTGAGCGCGAGTGAGTCTAAGTGCGAGTGGGTCCGTCTGAGTATGAGTGGCTCTGAGTGCGAGTGAGTCTGAATATGGACCAGCCTGAGTGTGAACGAGTCCTTTTGTGGATGAATTTGCGTGTGTGCGTGAACCTGGATATGAGGGTCTGAGTGTGAGTGAGCCGGAGTATGAGTGAACTGAGTGTGAGTGAGTCTGGGCATGGGAAGGAGGAGGAGGAGGAGGGAAGAGTGAAGCGAGAGAGTTACAAGGCGACTAGTAGCAAGAACCCCACCTTTGGATATTGGGGGGCATCGCAAGAACCAGGAACATGGGACAGGCAAAACAGCATGGTTTCTCTGTTTGGAAAGTTTGCAACGGGATTCCTTATTTCGGCGGGAGGAGCAAATCGGAACCACCTTCGACACCGCGTCGACAAGAACCGAACCGCGACCCGGTGTACCATGGGACACACGAACCACAATGACTTCTCATATGAGGGAGATTGCATCTGGATTCCATCTTTCAGCAGGAGATAAGAAACATGGAACCACCTGAGACACTGCGTACGCAAGGACTGAGAACGACCCACAAGTATCGAACTTGCGACTGGAGGTCATCTTGATTCGTATTGAAGTTGTAGTGGGTCTCTTGGGGCTACAGTTCCCTTTGTCGGGTCGAGCCATCTTGAGATAACCATGGAGGCAGACAGCCGGATATTTACGGGAACCACTCGCATTTAACAGTACTTGTTTGTCGGGGGTTTTGCCCAGAGACAGCTTGGGCCTTTTACAACACCCTAGCGCCCCCTATGGCCATCCTGATGCATTCTGGACCTCCTGAAGGCGTTTTGAGGGGCTTGATGGGTCGTTTGGGACTCCCCTGGGAGGCCTGCATAGCCATCTCGGGCGTTCCTGGCGGCCTCCTGGCTCGATCGGGGAGGTGCTTTTGAGGGCCACGGACCCATTCAGACCCGCAACAGTTCATAGTTCATGAATCTGATAGGTTGCATCCACATGAGAGCCTCTTTCCCCTTGGCGATAACAGGCGTTAAGGGGGGGGGAAGGGGGCGGCTGGGCCGGTAACGTCACGTTTCGCGCTGGCGCCGTCCGGGAACGTCTAGGGGAACCAAGGCCAATTCGGAGGTCAGCATGACTCGTGACATGACCTTAGGGTAACATGCGCTTCTATTTGGCAATGTAGTTGTCTCGTCATT